CTTCCGATCTCCCCAAAACCCCAAAACCCCGAGAAGAAAAGTTATGAAGTGTAATGTTAATATATAAATAAAATATAACCTTATTTAAACGCCAAGGTTTGATGATTATTATTATTTGAAGCTTAACCCAAACTTTAATTCTTCTAAGTTAACGAGGAATTCGAATATATTCTTTCACTCATTATTTTTGGATAGACTTCTCGACTGTATTGATCATGCTTCTCTTTGAACTGATAGCTCTTTGATTTTTATTCCAGATTTCTTCCAGTTATCTTTCAGTAGGTCTTCTATAGCCTCTCAATGATCCAAAGTGACTGAAGGGCTCACCAGCGTTTGGAGGAGAGAAAGCACACTCTCTTGGACTAACAGCTCCAGAAGGTAAATGAGAATAGAATGATTGACCTGTTCTAGATGCGAAATTGGAAGACAATTTTTCAGATCTCTTTCTGGTAAGATCGGCAATTGAAGTAGGGTTCTCATAGTCACCTGGGCCTGGGTTTTTATTAGCTTTAAAGTAATCCTTGGGACTATACCCTCCAGCTAGGACATCTTGATGTCTAGTTGTTTTAACGAATTTTTCATTTATTTTATAATCTTATGGGCCAGGTCTTGGTTCCTTGGCTTTGTATACTTCAGTGATGTGAGGGAATCTGCCACTCAATGAGAATGCATATGCATTTCTCTTGACTTTAGTTTCATCAGGAATGTAGGAGAGGGGACCCACTTTCTCGAAACTTATATGCTCTATGATACTGCGGTTATCAATATCACAGTTTTTAACTGACTAATATGAGAGTCCGAAATAGCACTTTTCTCTGAGTTTCCTTGGGAAGAATGGGGATGTCTCAGGTTTGTGATAGTTCTAAGGCGATGGGATCGAGCTCTTCATTTCAGCTTCATGGAAGGTCTTTCTCTGACTATAACCGAATCCCCACCCCTTCTTATAAGGCGACTGCTTTCTTTGAAAGGTGTCCCTATGGTCATAAAATGGTGCCTGCATGCCGCCTGTTTTCATTGGTTTGAATCTTTCATCCTTAGCAAAGCTGATTGGCGACACTGAGTTTCTGAGAGTGTTAGCAGACTAATGCTCGCTGGAAATGAATCCATTCAGGGAGTTAGTGAACTATATGCCTTTAAGTTGATTCTAACTTACAGTAGAATTGAACTAAATTTTAGAATCATATTTCCTATTTGGGATAAACTTGCCTGGGGGAGAACCACTTTTTTCTTTGGATTCGTTGTAAGAAGAAGCCTTTGTCAAGTCCATATTCGAATACTTCTGGTAAGAATTCAGCTATAACTTTTGCTCGTTCATATACCTACAAAGACCACCTAAAATAAATAGAATATTTACTGGTTGCGGTCCTACATCTAAGACATATCCTAAGGCGATCCCTAATTATTGTCTGTTTCCATTTTATTTTTGATAAGATGATTATTTACTATAACTATTAAAATTAAAGCTAAATTATTTATTTTTATATTCGCTCTCATTTTCATCACAATAATCAGTGAGCCTTGCTCTCTCTGGCTTGCTTAAGAGTGGGGTTTTGATTAAGCTTGACCATCTCTCTGATGATCTTATCTCCTCCTCCATCTAAATGAGTGTCGTCTTCGTATTTTTTGGCATTGTATCTGCACTTCTCAATAATCCATTGTTCCTCTCCGTGGTCCAAGTCTCTCTTGAAGCTGCCATCATATTCATAAATTGATCTCTTAGTTGGATCGTAGTAACCGTCTCCAATGTCGTAAGTACCTTCTGGGATGTTCTTGGGTCCCTTAATATCATTGGTGATCAGCGTCAATCCATCTGGCCTCAATCCCTTTAGCTTCTCTGTGTAGAAGGCTCTGTCCTTAATTGTACAGTACTCCCAGGTCTGATCGTTATACTCGAGATTATCGTAGAAGAAATAGTTGCCCTCAATCAGCTTTCCCTTATCCCATTTAGCTACATATCGACCTCCGTTGGGGTATATCAGAGTTCCCTCGCCATGGAATTCTCCCTTGTCAAAGTTCCCCTCGTAGACTACGCCATTTGGATAATAGAATTTGCCAAAGCCCTGATACCACCCATTTTCTAAAGGTCCCTTATATTAAGAACCAGACCACTGAGACATTTTCGATTTTAATAATTAATTAGAATAAAGATCAATAGTTTAGTTGAAATATATTGAAATGTTGCATTTTACTTAACTATCATGGTAATTTGGGGTTTTGGGGTTTTGGGGTTTTGGGG